CGACGGCGACTCAACTTACCTACGGACCCGGGTTCCGGTCCGTCGGCCGACGGACCGTCGGCCGACCGACGTCGAACTAGACTCGGCGTCGCACGACCGACCGCCTCGACTCCCTCCTCCCTCCTCCCTCCCTCCTCCTCCTCCTCCCTCCTCTCTCTCTCTCTCTCTCTCTCTCACACACACACACACACACACAAAGAGAGAGAGAATACTACTATAATAGACAACATAAAAAATTGAATCATCAACATACATCTGTGAGTAAATGTTGGTGAACCATTAGTTTAACACTGTTAATAGATAAATTTATTAAATGATGAACAATCTTTTAAGATAAGGATCTTATATGATCTTGCTTTTTATCATGCCATTCTCACTTATCCAAACCAAGATATGTATAAAAAGGAAGTGGCTTATTTTTAAGGAGTATTAAAGAATCATCCAATAATAATAAGACTTCCATAAAATTTCTCTCTTCCCATTTTAATCTATCGTGTGCAGCTCAATACATCTCTCTCAATACCCTAAAGAACAAGAGAAGAAGAGAGAAAAAATTATTGCACAAAAACAAATTATATATGCCTGGTGGATTGTTCTCTGAAAATTTCTTTAATTCCTTTCCTAAGATATAGATGGATGGGTTATGTGAGATAAAATCAATCTAGGAGAGGGAACATAGGAAGTACAAAGCTATATTGGAGTAGTGGGAGAGAGAGAAAGAGAGAGAGAGAGAGACGTTTGATATGCGGAAAATCAAATTATCTAAAATAGCAAAAGATATACATCATGATAGGAATGAGATCTATGTTAGATGATATAGAAAGGAAATAAATACAATAGGGCCAGGGCCACCCATAGACCAAGAGAGGCCGGCCAAGGCTCAAGCCAGGGTAGGGTGCCGGCCAGGCCTCTAGGATCAAGGACAGGGCAAAGGCCAACCCCAACCGAGCCCAAATCCAGCCCATTACCACCCTCAAGTATAAATAGAGCTTAGCATTAACAGTAATTCTGAAATGAAGTCAAATTTGGAAAAAGAGATTACCAGGGTTGTTGGTAGCTTCTGTATGAATCCGACAGTGTCTGTAAGAAGGAACTCCTTTCCATTATTGAGCTGTATGGATTCCAGGATACATGTACCTTAGTGCAAGGAATATCTAGGAGATAAAGACAATGGTAACTATGCAAACAAATTGATAACTTATTAAAGAGACTAAAAAATAAATGATATGCATTCCACCAAAAACAAATTCAAAATAGCCAACTAGGTAAGCAGATCCAATCACTAGTTTAGAGATCTCAGAATTCCATGTCAATCTCTGTAAGGTTTTAATAGTTTAAGCCTCATATTACAGTATAACAATGTCTAAAAAGTAAATCAGATTTGAGTTGCCTGATGCTAGTCGAGGAATAGGCAACTTAAAAAGAGAAGCAGACATTTTTCAACAATTTTCCTTTTCAACAATTTTTGTTTCCACTCTAAATCCATTAAGTACATATGCCCCTATTATGTACCAAATCATGTTCTAATTATTATATTACAGATACGGAAAAATAGATTTTAATATTCTTAAATAATTCTCTTTTTTTTTTTTTAAGTTTTCTTTAAAAAAGGTAAAAGAGATGATCAATCTGACATAGAATAACTCAATCTGCTTTTGCAGTGTTGAATTTCTGAAAGTATAACGCATTATTCCCTTTTAACAGAGAACAATCATTCATCAGAGACCATAAAAAGTCACAAGAATGGACAATTAATGTGCACTAATTACGTACCCCCTCTTGACAAAAAGCCTATGCAGCCCAAACCTGGGCAAGCAACATATCAGATCATTTGATTTTCCCATGCGATACTAGTATTAATGAAACCAAATTTTAGGTTAAATAGTTTAGGAAAAATGAATCACATTAACATAAATAGAAAGACTCTGACTATCTGCTCATTTTCAATTTAGCCACAACAGAGGCAAAATTAGAAAGAAATCCTTTACTGAAAACCCTTCACAAATCACTTCACCACACATTTGGGTGCGATGTGCTTTGTTAAGCCTTCACACACAAGGATGTGGTGTTTACCATTTGTATATAGAATTTAGGCTCTAAAAATTTTATTTCCCTTTGTCACATAAGTGGACTTAGAACTATTGGCTAACCTGCACCCTTCTTGTCGTCGGGTCCAGGGTTGCAAACAAGCGATCCTCAGCAAGTACATCAGCTCCAGTTAGACGATTTAGAATTGTGCTTTTCCCAGCATTTGTGTAACCAACCTTGAATAGAACAAGATCGCATGTGAGGTAAGAAGGCTTTGAGCATCCAGAGATAAATAGGGTGAAAAGTCGGACACTAGAAAATAGATAGCCCATGTTTCTACTCACCAACGATACCACTGGAACAGGTACAGACACGCGACGATTTCGATACTGTCTCCTATGCTCCCGAACAGACTCCAACTCCTTTCTCAGAGCAGTAATCTGACCAAAAAAATTTGTTGGGCAGGCTAAATGAAGAAATGTGCACAACAATTAACAAGGGTTACAAAAGCAGTGGCAAATGTGCAATTGTATGTCTGCATGCTCGACTCACAGCAGCAATGTTTACTTTTTTGGGCATCATATCAAGACTTATGTTTCTTAATCGCTTCGTAGACCTGGGTACAGTACTAGGGAAAGAAGCCAAGAATAGATTAGTAAATATTCTAAGACAGAATTTAAGAGATATCTGTTTTAAATTTTTTGAAAACAAATAACAATCAATCACAAATGAAAGAAAAAAAGAACTCAGAATATATGATGACTCAACATAGAATAATAAGTCCATTTGAGATCCTATGAGAAGCAAACATGCTCTATGTTACATGCAAAACTGAATTACGGAGATGCAAACTCATACAAAAAGATCATTGAGCCTATCAGTGAAGTGTTTCTATATTATTTAGTAAGGGGGCTAGTTTATGCACCCAAGTCTTCGTCGTGGCACCCTTTGCACCAGCATTCCGGTCACCCGACCAGTTATAACTTAGTCATTTCAAACTAACTAAAAGAATGGAGACGCAATATTTGAATTTCCTTATTCAAGACTTATCAAAATGGTAAAGGAATTCCTTCTCACTCCGCTGGCCCTCCCTCCCTTTCTCCCTCCCTCTAACCATCTCTGCCTCCTTACCATTGAAACTAAGGTGATGTAGGCAGTCAATTGTGCTACCCAATTCACTTCAGATGCCCTCCCTCCCTCAGACCATTTCTGCCACTCTGCTTCTCATCCATCGAGTCTAAGGTGATGTAGGCATTCAATTGTGCTGCGTAATTCAGATGTTTGGCACTTCATAAACAGCTTTAAAAAAAGATAAGAGGGATTTTTGGATCACCACGGGAAACCAATTCAATAAATTTTATTTATTTTTTGGTTCCCTGAAAAATTCTCGAGAATTAAAAAATAAAAAACTAAGCAATGGGTGAGAATAGACGGCCAAAACAAATCATGCGAAAGAGCCAATTACAAGGCAGATATACCACAAAATCAGAATTTCCAAATGGAATCGCAGCCTAATGGGAGTTCTTTGGGCACGTCTATATAGTAAACATCAGTTTCATGATAATAATGAATAAGAGAAGAGAAGAGGACAAAAATGTCATTAATAACAAAGGGAAACTAGTATTTCCAAATGTTGGGATTTAATGGCCATTTAAAGGCCTTATGAGAGCATGTAAAACTATGACCTTAGTGATGTGATAAACTCCAATGGGAGTAAGGTCCAGTGGGACCAAATATTATGGTTGAGAGGGACCAAGGGAGGCATTTTGATGCCGTGACTCACCTGGACTTTGACGAGCTAGGCCCAGGTTGATGTCGAGAACCATGTAGCCTTGGGCATGCGGCACAACCGTGGAGGGTTTGTGAGGTCATCCCTTGATGTAGCCTTGGCCATGCGGCACAACAAGTCAAAGGGTGGTTGGCCAAGGGACTGTGTGACCCTTGCATAAAGTTGGCTGGCCTGAGGGGACAAGAGCCAAAAATCCTTATCATTGCCATCACATGATATCTACAATAGATAGTTGTTTGGGAAGTAGCCCATTGGAGCATGTCGTGTATAGAAGCGGAAGATATGGCTCCCATGCGCCATTACAATACTGTGTGAATGTCTATGTGACCTGGGCTTGTCTTTGGGGGGACTTGTAATCCATTGAATAGAAACATGTTCTCTTCGTTTAGTGGCCGACTTCGATGAACCAATCATAAACCCCTGTGATAGGCAGTTGATCATGGGTTTCTTTAGGTCAATTGGAAAAGATGATTGTAGTTCACAGCTACAAGAATAGGTGAAGTGCCTCAGTGACTCTGCATGTTACTTGACCCAATGGATTCAATTCCCGTTGAATTATATTTAAATATATTTTATTTGAATTATTGAACATTAAAATGAATTTTAAAATGCTTTGTAAATTTTATTTCATGAAAAAAGATGTTTAGAGAGCTAAAAAATTGATTTCTCATGCTATTGCAAATACAAAGCTATTTTAAAAATGCTTATGGAGCTTTTTAAATCCTTTTATTTATATTAACATTTTTAGGGGTCAGTGGGGCCCATTTGAAATAGGGCCTCCACCACATGAGAGCCCCACCTTGATGGAGCGTGGGGCCCACATAGCTCCCACACCCCACCTCTCTCTTCTCTCTCTCTTTGACTTGTTGGACAAGTCCAGAAAAAAGGCTATATTTAAGAAAGATTTTGGTTAAAAGATTGATTGGGAGAGAGGAAGGTATGATCTATTCAAAATTTAGTGAGTTGTTCCATAACTTGATATTTTTGGAAACTATACTCTATTTTCCTTAAATCGATATTTGATGGGAATGGGTCAAGAAAACTGAGGGATAATGGTTCCAAAACCCTTTAATCATGATTGCTGATTTAGGTAACGAGTGACTAAGATCTCTTCACCCCACAAATATCCTTAGATCGACGATCAAGATTAAGTCTCAAAAGGATGGCAAATACTAGAACCCCAGAAACCTCAGATTGTATCCATATATACACCTCAAGGGGGTGGCCTCTAGGTGAGTCTCTCTCTAGACCTCTCTCTCTCCTCCCTAACTAGCACGTCACTCTCTCTTTCTTTCTTTCTCATCACATCTCTCTTTAGGTTAGGGTAAATGGGTCGCCATGGTCCAAAGTTTACTCAAGAGGTGGTGCGCCCCAACTAAACCTAGATGTAGAGATAGTTATAACTTATATCCCATGGTAATGTGATGGATCATGCTCACATATTTTAGATTAGGGTTTGCCTAGGCTTCCCATTGTGTGAGACAAAAAGTTAAGAACCTCGATCCTATATGCTATTGGTGTGGATATTTGGAGTGGAGTGTAACAAGTCCTTGGGGGTAACTCTTAGCATAGTGATCTGGTATTTTACAGCTCCATGTCTCTTGATTCATTCTTGTATATTGCATTTTGATTTTAATTAAGCAAAAAGCTTTTTTTATGGCATGCAAGTGATGATCCTAGGTCATATTAAGGTTTTATTTTATGAATTAAAGATGTATCTTGGACACCTGTAAGTGTTTTAGCCAAATGAATAAAAGAAAGAAGAGAATTTTTAACTGTATACACTTGGCTAGATTACATTGTCCACCTTTCACCAAAATAGTTATCTAACAGTTCTATGGCTACAGGCATTCCAAGAACCCAGCAGGAGAACTACCTCTCAATGATCACCCTTTGCACCCTTCCACTTATAGTTGCATGCTGAAGAGAGAAAGAGAACCATACCGATGATTTTGGGTGGTGAGAGAGACAAAGGGAGATTTGGTAAGGCCTTGGAAGAACGAAGTCTAGAGAGAGAGAGAATAGTTTCCTGGTATGGCATAAGAGAAGAGGGGGGGGAATCATTTTTTGGTAGGAGAGATAGATGGGTTCCTCTACCACTTTGTGAAGCATTTAGTAGGGAAATTTTAAGGATTGAATTTCCATAGTCTTAGTAAGTTAAAAAATGATTCACTTATAACCTGTTAGGCGACCTGTGAGGCAGCACGAAGGGAGCAGTTACAAAAACCTTGCGTGCATAAACTAGCTCCTTTATTAATAATCATAAGTTGAGCTCCTTGATAATTCAGATATTATCACTTAAATGATTATCCCTTGTGTGGTTCCCTCCAACCCCACCTAAAGCTATATTGGGAGAAAAGCACAAACCAATGAACCAACATTATACAAGAAAAAAAACATTATACAACTTCCATTTATACTCAAGTTATTTTGTCTCTTGGTTTACAACGTCAAGTTCCCAAAAGGAGTGAATCATCTATGAGAATAGCCAGCCCTAAAGAATGTTTTTTTTCGGTAGCAGTACAATTTAAGTCTCCATTCAAGGAATTTCATTACTCCCAAGTTAGGTCATGCCTCAACTACTACTTTTCCAATGAATCCATGCATAATCACACATAAATAAATGAATGGTATATTTGATTCAACAAAATGCTCACTTACCTGAGTTCGTAAGATGCGCTTGTCCACTTCAATCTGCTTTTCACCCATACCTTTGACCCTTCCTCCTGCTTGCCGTTCCAGGTGGGACCACATCTTCGTCAGCCTTGGCAGTTGGTATTCCATTTGTGCCAGTGAAACCTGATAGCAATTATGCAGTATTGCTGATAAAAAATACTAAACACATGTGACTTCCTACCATAACATGCTTTATTTTGATAATGGGCATACAGTTAAAAACGTCTTATACACTACCATTGTGTGCATGGTGGTAGCATAGTCAACTTTCAGTCATCCAATAAAGGCATTTGGTATATAGGTGCTCATGAAAATAATAATGAAAATTGATTCTCAAGTATCACGGTACCATATACTATAGTTTAAGAAAAAAAGCTATCATTCGAGTATCAAAGATGTGATGCATAAACCTAACAATTTAGTTATATCATCATCATCCGAGTCTTATTCCAACTATTTGGGATCCACTAAATTTAGTTATATAGATAGGAAAAGAATTTTGCCTGTAAAGCCGCTTCATGAGTTGCGGCCCTCTGATTGAAGATATCCAGAATTAGGGCAGTTCGGTCACAAACTCGAACATCGCCACCGAATGCCTTTTCCAAGTTACGAAGCTGCCTGAAAATGACAATTACATAAAAAAATTGAACTTGGAGTATAAGTTTAGCAACTGACAAACTGTTGGTCAGTTGTTTGAATGAGAACCTGAAAGATAACGGTATAAAAGTTCCAACATGTTTTGCTACTGGTTGCAAAAAGTATCTGAGAATAGAATACCCCCAAGATAAGTTAAAGAAAATTACTGGGTAAAATCAATAATCTTTTAAGGTATAGCAAACCATCCAATCCACGAAATAGAAACGATACTACAACTATATCATTGTAATGAAGAAATATAATGGCAGGCTTTGAATGGGCACTTTTATCCTGTGTTCTCAATATTGAAGTAATAAAAAAGGCATAAAAAGGTAATTTAATTACAATAATTTCCAATGAAATGTATGTCATTAAATAAAGCTCACCCCTAGAGGACTTTTGAGGGGCAGTGGCAGTGATTGTGCTCTAATACCGAGCCATCTCACAGAAAAGAAGTTTAAGGAGCCACATTGGGGGGCATCTGAAATAAATTTCATGAGAGTGCTCAGGAGCAACGGTTTCACAAATTTGAGAAATGCCTCACAAAGATCTTGCAGGCATTAGAGCAACAGATATACGGTTTAATTGGATTTCATAAGCTCACAGTTGTGGCTAGTAGAGCAGATCAGCAGATAGTCCAGTAGCCCCACCACTTAGCTGCTCAAGTTTAAATTTAATGTAGTTCAATTAGGAACCCTAGCCTAACAGGAACAGGACAGATGATTATGGATCCACCCAATGCACTGTATCCAGCCCAATTGGATTGAGAGATTCTGTAGAGGCCAGATTCCAAGATCTATGAGCAGGATCAATATTAAAAATACCAGTACTAAGTTTTTGAGCTAAGGGGTGTGACAATACATTATGGAATCGGCCCCTAAATCAGGGTTTAGAACAGAAAAAATAATTATCTTTATACTTTAAAATATAGCAGTCTAAATGGTGAAATTTGGGAAATATTGGATATTATGGTGGTGCCATTTTTTACTTATTAATAAATTTCAACAAGTGATAGCTTTACGACAGCTATAATAGGCATTTTTTTTAACAAAAGGATATGAACAGATTTATATCAACTGTACATTTCAAATATATAAAAGCGATATGTCAACTTTATACTGATATAAAATGGCTGCTATTAACCTCAAAATTGTCAATATCCGACTTTATAAAGCGATTTTGATTATACAGATACACCATGTCACATCAGCCATATATTGGTGTGAGCAGGGCCCAATTCATTAATACTGGCCAATATAACTGATATTTTCTATTTTAAAACATTGCACAGAACAATGGATATTCCCTCAGCGTTGACCAGGGCCATAAGTCATTGAGGGCAAATCCCTCAATGTTATTAGATGGGTCACGATTGTATTAACTCCCCCATGACATTTGGCTCATATCTTCAATGAGATCAGGAGATTGTTGCTTAGGAAATGATTTCCCTATGACACTCTCCAAAAAGCCAATACAGAAACCAGCACACTGCTTGATATGGTCTGACAAAAGAACGTATTCTGATTGTGGGCATATAAATGTCATAATATAGAGGAGACCTAACTCCCTCTCCTCTATTACCATCCACATTTCTTCTCCTCTATGTCCCCTTTCTCCACCCCCCCTCTCTTCCCTCTCATGTATATTTCTCCATCCTTTCTCCCACCCCCCCTCTCCCCCCTCCCCGCTCTTCCCTCTCATGTATATTTCTCCATCTTATGCACACATCTTCAGTTTTTTTATCCCAAGAGTATATACTTTGCTTGCTCTTTGTCCCTCCCTCCCTCCCTCTAAACATACATGCACATATATTCATACAAACATCATAATCATCTAAGCCTTATCTCAACTATTTGGGGTTGGATACATGAATCCTGGTCCGTCATTGTGCTCATAGGTTCAGGGTGCATGACAAGATTTGGAAAAGTTTTATGTTGGCCACACTACCTAACTCAAACCTACTCCTTTACCCGAGCTTGGGACCGGCATGATCAGCTTGGAGCCAGCCAAAGCGGAGCTATGTAGATATATTCATACATACATACATATGGAAAAAGCTTCCGATAGGTTATCACCTAAAATGAATACTAATTTAGGTTATACTCCTAGATGTCGAATCTTGATTGAATGGTTAAAAATGCATGTTACTATTTGAATTTTTAATATTTTCTATAATTTTTTCTACAAATCAGATCAAGATGAAATTTTGGGCATATGTACTGCATAATAAGGAGTGCAAAAAAATATAATGCAAATATTTCCCAAGACTTAAAATGACCAAACTACCTTTGAAATATGGTGGGGTAATTTGGTAATTTTAAGTTTTATGAGGGCCGCAACTCATAAAACTGTGCAAAAGCTTTCCTTGGGGACTGTAAATGCATCCATAACTTGACCTTTATAGCATATTTAAAACAAATAACTTTCTTCATCCTTAAATTTATATACATTGTAAATTTGCAAGCAGCTCTGTATTTCTAAAATCCAAATTGTAGTAGTGCATGAAGAATCTGATTTTCAGAAGCTCAACCATTTCATTCACATGAAGCTCTTGAAATTCTAGTTTTAAGCAGAACAACATGAACTGGAAATTAAATAAAAATAGATGTGCTAGCATATTCAATAATATGAATAGCTTCAACTTTCTTCATCCTTAAATTTATATACATTGTAAATTTGCAAGCAGCTCTGTATTTCTAAAATCCAAATTGTAGTAGTGCATGAAGAATCTGATTTTCAGAAGCTCAACCATTTCATTCACATGAAGCTCTTGAAATTCTAGTTTTAAGCAGAACAACATGAACTGGATCCCAAATAAATACAAATAGATGTGCTAGCATATTCAATAATATGAATAGCTTCAGAAATTAAACAATTATATCCCCGGTCGAGTGACAAAAATGAAGCTTTATTCATAAGCGGTAAACTGCATGCAGATTTTCCTGCAAGTAAATATGAGCGGAAAATTCAAACAGTAATCCATGAAGAGCAATTTTCAACAGCAAGCAAAAGGCCTAAAAGAATTTCAGGTTTGTATCCTGCCACAAGAAAACAAACAAACTTATACACACAACACACAAGCAGGTGAGGGCACGCACACACAGAAAAAAAGAAGAGGGGGGGCGCTTTCGCAACGTGCGCACACGCACACGCACACGCACACACACAAAAAAGGCCCCCTCCTGGGGGGTGGGGGGCTTTCGGGATATATTCGGAACTGGCAAATTCTTAGTTGCAGAAAACAAGAAGTTCAGAACTTCAGATATAAGCCTGATTTTTTTGCGATCACTTCAAAATGAACTCATATATGAATCAACCATATGAAGGTGTGTGTAAAAAAACAACAGCATTATCATCCTCTCCCTAATTCAAGTGATCATGAAGAGAGCAGTAGAATTTTTTGCTCTAATTTACCCTGCTGATAACTCATCATCAAATATTACAGTCTCCACATCAAGGGCGTGAATAGCATTCTTGATTTCTGAAACTTTGCCGGATCCAATGTACGTTCGTGAATTTGGATGGGCTAGCCTGCCAATGTATATGTTAGTTTAGAATTCAATGCCCAAAAAACGATATTTGATGAGAGAACATACTAAAAAGTTACTTGTATACAATGTGCAAACAAAATATGAACTCTGATTAGCAGGTTTATCAAGGAAAAATTACTCATGTTAAACCTTTCCTGCATTTGTCAAGCCTCAAGACAGTATCACATGATCTACAAAAAACAAATGTTACATATATTGTTGTATTCTTGAATTGGATTACTATAAGTTGGGTTTATTTTATTGATTTATTCTCGGAGGGGATTCTTTCTCACTTGTGCAAGTTGGTACCTTGAATGCATGTCCAAATCCATTATGTTTCATAATTGGGAATTTGAGAGCTCTTCACATGTGTGTAAGATCCCAATGGTGGAAAATGTACTTGAAATATTTTGTATTTTGTAACAATGTGATGGTATCAGATGTAATTAAAGACAAAGTGGGATAAATATAGGTCGTACAAGGCTTTTTTATAAATCAGAACCCCAACAATGACATGGGTTTTGGATGAATCAACAAAATCATCAATCGCATAACTCAAGTCATGGCCTGTTTCTTCTGGCAAGCAAGCCTGGTGTATGACTTGACAAAAGCTGAATCAAGACGACTTTGGTAAACCATGACTCCACTACAAGTCTACGACCTTTGGAACTACAATTCAAGGAGGTAATTAACCACTTCATCACTGCATTGCATCATGTTAATCAATTATTGATCTTCATAGGAAGTGTATGACCTTTTTATATCTGTATTATAAATAAAGATTGATTAGTTTCTACTCTTTGCAACAATTGTCAACATTATTGTGTTATGGACAATAATTTGTTTTGATATTTTTAACCTTTAACTATGTCATGAAGAAATGCGTCATTTATTGGTCAGGTCAGACCATAATCTTGCTATATGATGCATGAAATCATCTCTCAAGAAAAACAATGATGCATGAAGGACCACTAGTGTAGAACACGCAAAATAAGAAGAGGAGGTGAGGTTGCCAACTGCAATTATCGCACTGGATCTATACAACTCCAAGAAATCAAAATCGCATGGAAAGATTCCGGAATGGAATCCTTAAAATAAAGTATGGAAGGCACAACAGAAGAGTGTATGCAATCAACACTACTAGTCCTGAAGAAGGGTTTTCGCCTACAATTATGGTGCCATAAGAAAAAGTGCAGTACTTACTTCTGATATGTACTGCCAACAACCAACAACCCTGCAGTGTCTGCCAGTTGGGCTAACTCCTCGAGTGACTCTTCTATACCCAAGAAATCATCTTCACCACGTTTATGTTCAACACCAACTAGGTAAGCTTTTTCCAAGTAAACCTACACAAGTTTGGTCAAGAATTATGGTACATCTACTCAAAAAGTTAGAAGAATCATCATAAGGCCCAAAAAAGAAACAAAACTACTGTTTAGGAAATCGCCTAGGCCAAGGGACTCGGTCCTCGGCCGAGTACTGTATTAGGGCAAAACTCCTGGATAAATTAATAAATGAAAATGGAAAAAATTAAAGAAATAAAATAAATATACTAAAAGTTAAATAAAACTTAAGGCAAACTTAAAAACTCCAAATAAGACTAAAAAATTATAGAAAAAATGGATTTAAAAAAAATATCATTCTAGTAGGGAACTTCTTAAAAAAACATCTAAAAAAATAAAATACAAAAAATAGGGTTACGTCAAAAAAACTCACCAATCTTTGCCAAAAAATCCAAATTACTTAAAAAAATTATACAACAATCTGACATTTTTTGCAATTTTTTTTAATGTTATTTTAATTTATTTTTTAGGTACCTGAAGTTGAACACGCAACAGTCACTAGTTCCAAGAATACTACAAAAGTTTTACAACGTCAAGAAATACTACATGCCATTTACCTATTACAAGGAAATAAAGAAAAGTCGTATCTACTGGCTAAGAACATTATCACGAATGACCTTAACTTTTCTGATTTCATGTATCTTCTTTGACAACAGTGGCGAGCCTCAAATTTGCAATAGCCCAATTAGTATAGTCGTGCAAGAAACTTAACAACTTTTTTTTTAATGACTAATTCTACTCAAGAAAAATAACACAATACTCAGCAGACTGCAACACCAGATCATTTTGTTTCAGGGAACAAATACATTGATATCTCATTTTCAATTCACCTCCACAGGAAACTGATAGAATTTTATGATTGTATTTCATACACAGGAGTTATCAATCTTCTGGTGCTTAGTGATTTTTTATGTTAAACAATAATAACTGAGTTCAAAAAATGGACATGGTGATTAATTTACTGTAGTTCAGTATTTCAGAACAATGGTCTATTTACCCCAAAAAAAATAAAAAAGAAAAAGACCAATGGTTTGAAAATAAAATCAATGAAACTTCAAAATTAGCAATGAAACTTCAAAATTCGCAAACGAGGGTAAGCTAGAGCAATTTGAAAAGGCTAAAAACAAACAAATTATTGCCTTTTATGTAACATAAATCCAGGCAAATAAAAGACAAATAGACTGAACTATAGACCAAACATAAAAATGCCTACAACATATATACATGAATTTAGATGGAAATACACAGGAAAGGAAAATACCAACAGAGTGAAAAAATGAAGAAAGAGAAGAAGAACGAACCTCTCTTCCATTGCGCAAAGTGAACCTCTCATAGTCAAAGGTCCCATCCCCTGGCTTTCGATCTTTGTTTGAGCTTTTCTTAGGAAACCCATTTCCCTTATCTTCTTTAATGGACTCTTCAACAACTTCAGGAGAATCCCCATTAACCTCAAGCTCTGATTTTGCAACCATGGCTTCTCCTGCTGCTATAGCATCGACCTCTATAATCTGAGTAGGTTGCAGGTCTCCAATGGCACTCGAAACTTTCAAAGGACGTGTCCATAAGGGGAGCCAACAAGTGGGGTAGTTCTTCCATGGACGAGTGTGAAGAATTCTTGCTCCTAAGGGGGCTCTGCAACTCAATGGAACAACTGCAACGCTCATGTTTTCGTAAAAAAGGATGGCTCTCGCCCTCGGTCTTGCAACGGAGAGAAACCAATCAATTTAGGGGTCGTCGAACTCCCACGAAATCCTCTCTCTTTATTTCTCTCTAAGACCACAGCTCTCTCTCTCTCCGGAGCATATTGTATATTTGCTCCAGGGAATTTTGGGATCGATCAAATAAAATTTACGTACATGTCTCCCATAGTCCCAAGATTTTCATCGTTTAAACCGTTCCCTTCAATTTTTCATTTTACGATCATACCCATTTTTTACTTCACATTGTTATTCAAATCTCCTTACTTTTATATGTTGAGGGTCCAAAGTTTAAGTGTGTTTCTAAAAGGATAAATCCAACAACAAACTTAGAACTTTGAAGTTTCAAAGTTTATCTTAAAAAACACACATTGGACACTGAAGGCCTAAAGTTTACCTTCAAAAATAAACTTCACACCTTGAATGTATGAAGTTTACAAATCTAACTATAGCTTAAAGGTCTTGAGTTTTTTTTTTTTAAGGAAGATATGAAATTTGTTTTTTTTGGGAAATTATCGAAATATACCTTAATTTTTTTATTATTATAAATAACTTCAAACTTTTAAAAACCTCATCCATACTTTTTTTTTTGACTGAGTATACGAGAATAGCTTTCACAATAGTCTTCGAATCGTAAAGGCATCACGATCTATTGAAAAATGTGATGGTCATGACGGGGTTGTAAGTCAAATGTAGTTTTGCAGCATCACAACACTTAAAGAACCGTAATGGTTTATTGGACTATTACAGTTCTAATTTAACCGTTATACCTTCGTCATGGGGTATAAGAACTCTTAACAACTATCACGGCTTTTTAAGTGACATGATGCCTCTTAATGGCCATTGGCTTTGTTTAATTGCCATGACATCTCAAAACACTAAATTGCCCATTACCATCACGATCGTAAGACTATCGTGATGTCTTCACGGTCCTAAAACTATCGCGAATACTATTTTAGTAAATAAATTATAAAAAGTGAAGGAAATGAGTATGGAAATCTAAAAATCAAGGTATATTTTTTCTTATTTATTTGGTGTTTTTATTTTTTGGAGAAAAGAAGTTCATCTTTGAATCTTCAATGCCATAAATTTGTATTTGGGATAATTCGTTGGAAATAAACTTAAACTTTGAGCATTCTAAATTTGAAGAAGGAACAACTCAATCTAAAACAAAAAATAAAAATATAGGTATGAGCATAAAAAAGAAAATTTAAAAGAGATATTTTATATATCATGAATTTGGGGGGACATGTGCCTAATTTTTTTAAATAAATTTATATTAAAAAAAGAAAAAAAAAATTGAGCTTTAGGATCTTGCCCGAAATATCATTCCTTTTGAGCACATGAAAACATGTGATTTGAATTTTTTGAGATAGGTCGTTGGGTTCAAGATGTTACCTCCAAATTCTGAGATCCTGAATATATTCTTAATCGGGATTCTATTGTAAGGATCAATTGTGCAATACACGCCCCTGTAGGTTCACAAAAGCTCTTGACCTCTCTAATAATCAATCTCCTCTAGAGTGTAGTTTCTCAAACCTCAAAAATAAAAATAAAAAAAAACTAATAATAAAAAATAAAAAATAAAATAATAATAAATATTCTCTCTCAATTGTTTACTCATTTCCAATAATGCATTGCCTTTCAAAATCCATATTGAGAAAAGGACAATAAAAGCATGAAACTTTATCCTTCACTTAACTTATATTAGAAAAAGATAAAATTATATGTATGGGTGTGGTTTATATAGAGCCTAGGCTTTAAACAATCAAATTAGAGCCTATCTTCAAATAATGTCAAAAAATATGATTTCAATACTGAAAATCTTTAGGCTAATCTTAAAATATATATATATATATATTTATTTATAAAATTTAAAACTTTCAAAATAGTGTAGATTGACAAATCTATGAAAACTTGAAAATTGATGGTAAAAAAATACGTTATAAAATACATAATTTTCAAAACTTGAAATCTTTTGTTTTTTTTCTCATGTTCTTGCATCTGGATGTCAAGATGGTCAATTTGAGGATATTTGAAAATCAAAACAATATCTTCTAGTGAAAATTTGGATGTGGCCACTTATTTGTTTGTTTAAAGCCTCGGCTGTATATAAACTTTTCCGTATGTTATAAAGCGTAAGCTACAGTTGGAGCTTACGCGTCAAGTAAATAGAGCTCGGTAGCTCGCGGCTTTCCTTAACTCGTGAATGTTCAAACTATATTATAGGTAGTCCACAAATTTAAAGTATTACAATTATCTTATGAATATTATGCGTGTATTTTTGTTAAAAGAATCAATTTCATAATTAACTTTGTAATATATGATAGACATAAATCCAATTTTTGTCCATATGCATTGATCATGCGAGAGACTAAATACACAGTACATGCCCATAAGTGTACCAAATTTTTGCCACCATGTATTTCTTTGATTGAAGTTGTTATTTTCCGAATCTTCATTGATGCAAGATTATGAATGTTTTATCTACGTCGTCTCCGTAAATTTTCATCTCTTTGAATTTTTAGAATTAGGAGTATTGATATATTAACAACAAATGAATGGATCCTAGGATTCTTGCAAACTTATGATGTAGTTGAAATTATTTGGAATCGTTGTTGACCTAAATTTCGACCACTTCAATACATAAACTTATTCCCACATCTGTTGTATTTCTTTCATTGAAAATTTTTATTTCTTGGTATTTTGATTGATGCAATATTTGGAATGTCTTCTCTGCATCTCATTAGATTTTGATCTTTAGGGTTGGAAGTAAAAAAATTTCTACAACAAATGACATGCTTCTAGGGTTCTTCCATAGTTATGATATATTTAAATTTTTTCAGAATTTTTGCCGAGGTAAAACGGAACCATTTATTTACTGAAACTTGAATTTTTATTTTCGACAAAGTCATTGCTCTGTATTGTTGCAAAAATTTGTCAGTCTTACTGAACTTCTACCAAGTACAAAAACCCACAAATCTTAAAACACAATATTCCTTTTCTCTTTGTACAGTTTTTTGTATTCTTTTTTGTCACCATAAAATCATTGAACAATCAATTTCAGTCATGCTTTGAAAACTGGCTGATAGAAATCACATTTACAAGATTATTGGGTTTTAGTTTTGATTCTCTTTATCTGTGTTGCATTGTTTATGGATTCATATCAAAATTTTATTGAGATGGAGAAATTTATTGAAACTGAGATATAAATTTTAGGGTATTTTCTACAGTAACTGGAACTCTAATTTAAATATTTTGGTTGCCATATGTTTCTTATTTATTTTATTTAAGATATTTGCAGTTACGTTTCTCTCTGATCTATGGTTTTATTCTCTCTGAGAATTGGTTTTACTATATTTATATTAGGGTTTCTCAAGGTAAAAAGATTAATTCTGGAATATATTCTTATGATATCTTATTAAAAATTTACAATGTTTATATGATACACTATATTTGATTTTTTGATATTGCACACCAGTTGTTTGATAGATCGTCTAAAAACAAATAGAAAAGAACAACAAATTTAGATTTTTCATATCAAATTCAGTCGAAGGAACATAAACGAATTCTCTTATTTGTGAGGCCATGCTCTCAAGTAAATCATACATTTTCTCTGATTGTGAATTCCTCCTGTCTTCAACCCCAAACATGTAAATAGCCTCTAAATAGATCTCCAAACCTGCTACTGGATGGACTTGAAGCACCATCAATGTGAACTTCACTTGGGTTTAATTAGGTGGTCACCTACATGAGTCAAAGATCTTTGGTATTAGATGGGGTTTTGCACCTAAACGCTATTGGCTAAAAAACTTGAGCTAAGCTATATAACTAGGATTACAGGGAAACTGTATGGGAATTTCATTAGTAATTTGGCAATGTACTTGCCTGAGTGTAGTCGACCGATGATTGTTCTTCCTATGAAGAACCTGTTTGTTTAGGTCTTGTTGAACTTTCCAAATGATAAGTGAAGAAAGGATAAGTGTTTGATTGACTATGGTTGCATAATTAAATGAAAGTAGCTTTCATTTGTGGTCTGGTGCTCTTCATATCGTACTCTTGGAACATCATAACAGTAGGATGTCTTCTTAACGTAATCAAGAGGGTTGGTAAGGCATCCATTGGTCTTGGAGTATCAAAGACAAGTTAGAGGATATTCCTCATAGGAGCACCTCTTCAGAGATCTCCTTTAATTATCCAAATAAATAATTAGAAAAGCTCTTGATTGTCATAGCTCGAAATGGGCAGGCATTTACTTGTGTGAGCATATGGGAGTATCTCCCACAATTACAAATTGAATGGTTTGCCGCCGGTTTGACTGCAGCTTGTGGTCGAAGAAATATGTGGTTTGAGATTCACTGATATGTGGTGTTTTGTGGTTTGGATAAAAATGGAATTCTTCTGTATTTATTCCACTCAAAGCAGCAGCATTCCACAAGTGCGTGCATACCCAAAAAGGAGGTAAATGAGGCCACTGACACATGGATTGGCCACTAATTCCACCCAAAAATGCATGAACCATGGTTTGTTCAGCATCTAGATGAGGCCTTACCCTGGTATTTGGCTTGATATATGGTTATTCAACAACAAATATTAATTATGACCAAAAAACATATAAATATGTACTCGAAAACTTGCACACTTGCATGTTCCTATAATTTTTATTGGTTGATTCTTGGACTCCCATTCAGTCCTAATGCTTCCCATGTTGATTAATACTAAAATTTCAATGTCCAGAATGTTATAGGATATTACCATAAATTTCAATGTCCAGAATTTTATAGGATATTCTTCTGTGAAACTCTTTCTCTGAAGTGCATATTACCATGAATTTTACAGCCATTAAGCAAATCTGTCCAAATACTAGCGTCAGGTTCATAGGGCATATGGTTTTTATGAGATTTTTAGCCTCAAACAATCGGCCGGCTCCACCAAGAAGGTCGACGACCCGAATGGCTACAAGCTGAGAGAATGCAATTGAACATCACCTCATTGGGTTTCATGCCAAATTTTATCATCTCATCATAGAGAGAGATTGCCTCTCTCTCATGGCCATGCATATGCCATAGCGGACAGTGATGGCACTTCATAAAATCACCTCTCCATAGAATCACATTTCTCTCCATAGTTTGATGAAAGAAGAGGCCGACCATCTCCATGCTCCTACATTTCCCATACATCTCTACGTGTGTAATCGTTGCTGATGCATCAGCCTCAAAACCAGACTGAATTATGAAACTATAGAACAATTCTCTACCTTTTTTAGAGTCCCAAGAACACACTGAGGAAACATACTTTATCGGGTTGAACACCTTCTCTTTGCATCGAGCTAAAGAAGTCTAGAGTTTGAGTGTCATAACCATTTTGGGCATAACCAAAAACCATGGCATCCAACTAATTCTTCTTTTTATTTGGTATTATACATTAATGTCTTTTTGAGACTTTAAATAATTTGCCTCTATATAAAAACAAGGGCAGTGATTTCATGCAAAGGTTGTATGGTAGTATAATGCAACAATTTTCAAAAAACATATTAGGGCCATTTGTTTGATCCAAAATTTGACATATACATTATTTTTATTCTAATGAACAATCACAAAAAAGAAAAATTAAAAAATACAACCTAAAAAGTATTTTTAAGCCCAATTAACATAAATCGTCCATTTTGATAAGATGCTTAGATCTAGGCCTTAGAATGATTTTTTTTTTCAATTTTTTTAGATGACTTTATTATCATTAGATAAACAATGTTCAAATAAAAAAAAATGATTTTGAGTTTGGAAAAGTTAAGATCTAAAAATTCACCAAATGAATGGTCTAGATTCATTGTTGGATGACTAATTTTGACCATATCTAGGGTTTAAATTGAACTTCTTTTTTTGTTTATTGAACATTGAGATGGAGAGAGAGAGAGAGTGAAAATTTTTGGGCCATACAAATACCACAAACATAGTTTTATATAAGTGTTGTTGCATTATACTATGATACATCCGTTGCATTAGATCGTTGCCCTAAAAAAATTGATGAGGTGGAGCAAACTGACCTTTTAAACTATCAAATTAGCTAATAAATTAAAGTGAAATTTATTAGCAATTAACTATTTAGCATTTTTTCTATTTTAATTGATTTCAAAATCCCATCAAAATACACATGATTTTAACTTAGGATAATAGAAAAAATAAGATAAAATATTAAATAGTTGAAATATGAGGTGTATTTTGATAAAATTTATCTAAATTAAATGATTTGAACCCCCCAATATTTTCCAAAGTGCTTTAACTTTCTCAATAAAATACCCATGGTTGTTTGTTTAACAATTCGGGTATAACATACGCATGGTTGATACCATGGCCACATTTTGCACGCACATGGCAAAGTACAACGAGCTGTGTCAGTTGTGTAAAGAAATATCTATAAAGGCGCAAAATACAGTGAAGTAGTTCTACGTAGAAGGGGACTGGGATCGTGGTGATAGCACTCCCCATAACTCAATTACACGTTGTAGCTTCCATTCTTATTGTCAGCTCAAAAACCACTGCCTGTATTTCCCACTGAATTACCAATAAAATATATAATAGATGTGTCAATTGGGTTTGACCGAACATGGCTTAGGTCAAGCTTTATGAGATCTGGAACCTAACTAGGTCTTGGTTTGGTTTTGATTTGTTGGAGTTATGTTGGGGTCTGAAATGGGCTTGGGCTGACCTCGTTTTATGAATATATACAGGACAAGGCTGATCCAATATGTATGGACATCAATGCTACAGTGTTGCAATCTTGGTCTGAGTGCCACATACCTAAACCCAACAAGGTTTGGGTCCATGGGCTTGACTTGGTTAAAGTTCGGATTAACGACCCGACAGATCTCCACTTGAGTTGGTTAAAGTCGGAATTAGCAACTCGACCCGATTGCAGCCCCTACGAAATGCAAGTCGTATTACACTCGACTGCACGAGATTCCTCGATGTGGTCCTAGCTACTAAAAGGCTATAATTCACATGCTCGTTTGATACCTCAAGTGACAAGGTGTTTTGGAACTTTTGATGTGCTTGCTACATATGCCGGCTTTTTTCTTTTTGTGGAATAGGGGGAGGATTTTTCTTGGAGATGAATATTGGGCAACCAATAAGTCTATCAAGCCGGATCCAAATCGCTTGGCATTTGGCTTCCTTTCGAGTAATTTGTAGTGCCAAGACTTTATAATTCCGCATCTCAAATCTTACTAAAATATATGGTTTTGATGCTCAAAAACATGCAAAAACAATTATTTTGAGCTCGACGATTACGGAAGAGAATAAAAATGAATGTTAAGCCCAAAAAATAGTCTATATTGTAATGTATATTTTGAAATTCATGGTTCTGCACTATTTTGGACATTCAATTTTATATTAGGGGGGGTGAAAATAGTTTTACTGGGGATATACCCAAGATGGATGTCTCAAACCCTAACGAAGTGGAAGCAATGTTTTGAAGTCACTATAAATGTTGTGACAATGTACCAAAGAAGCCAAAAAATGTGTTGGTAACCATTTATTTATCTATTGCAAAAAAACACATGTTCATGGTTTCAAGCTTAAATTAAACCCAGTGAGTCGAAAGGAAATTATTGATCATAATTCTAGTTGGATCTCTACCTCTCAGTGTGATTACATGTTTAAATTATGTTGATGTGGGGAATGAACTCGATCACTTGGACAAAGTGTGCATTATTGTTCTCTCCGTGGTCCCTGTCGTTTACTTTTAGAAATCAAAGTGTTGTCATTTACTTTTAGAAATCAAAGTGTGAGAAATCGTATACTTACATTCAAATATCCTCAAGCGAAAGACCCAAAAGCTGCATAACATGGATGCGCATGTCCCTGATTTTTTTAACATGTCGAGGCAGTGGGATACGACACATGTGTCAAGAACTTTAATAACCTAGATACTTATATTCATATCATTGTTTTTAATATTTATAATTAAAATTTCACTAAAAAAAACACTTAATGTCACTCATAATTATGCCTCACTATTCTTCAAATAGTATACGAATGTGTCGTATCTAGAAGGCATATATTAACGCTTATGATACTCTTATCTTAATGAATCCAAAGTTAATACGAGTATATGTATTCGTGTAACATAACTTCACATGTATTAAGCGACATTGGGATACAAAACATGTGCCAAGAACTTTAATAACCTAGATACTTCTATTCCCACTATTGACGTGTCAATTTTTTAAAATATTTATAATTGAAACATCATTATAAAAGTACTTAATGTTACCCATAATCTTATCTTGTTATTCTTCAAATAACATGGTAATGTGTCATATTTAAAAGGCATATATCAGCGTTTCTAACGCTTATCTTAATCAATCGAAAGCTAATACACGTATCTATATTCATGTAACATAACCACATGTACCAATAAGCTTACACGACTTCCTTTCTTCTAATTTTCTCCTTCATTTTGAGCTATTTAAGTCTCATAGGAAAAAAAGAAAGAAGAAAAAAAGAAAAAAAAACGAGATGCGTTTGAGCACGAACTCTTCATTCTGCAGCGCTCGTGTGTGGTCTTAGTAACGTATTCGTCCTTTTTTTTAAATGTATATATTCGTACTTTTTTTTGGGTAAAAGAATCCAAGTCGACGAGGGGGCTAAATAGCCGAAAAGGTTTAACTTCAATGAATTATTTTAAGAGAGAGACAGAGGGGTTACAATTTCATACCCTTTTTTTTTTCCTGGCTTAGAGGGAGAAAGAGGAGAGAGAGGAGAGAGAAACCCTTGCATAAACATAATCTTGCGGCCCTTTCCATTTCTTCCCTGGCCTGGTCTTTCCATCGGGGGGGTTTCACGATTCATCACCTGCAACAGTCAATCCATCCATACCCCCTCTCTCTCTCTAGCTGGGGTTTTGATTGGTACTAGGTATTGCATCCCAATCCTCTTCTCTCTATCTAACATGTTATTCGCTTTCCTTTTCATTGGGCGTGATAGAGCGGCGGTGTTCTTTTCCAGGTGAAGTTGGGTTTTGGGGTATCATCAAAATCGGATAGATTGAGTTAGAGAGAGAGAGAAAGGTTCAGAGGACAGAGGGAGTGAGAGGAGGGAGGGAGTGCATATCGGGTTCAGGGAGAGAAAATGGCTGGGAGCTTGAGCGAGGATAATGGGTCGGATTCGATCTCTGTTCGATGCCAATCAGGTGATTCGGAATGGAGATCTTGTGAACAGGTCGAGAATGGAACGCCATCGACTTCCCCTGCCTACTGGGACATTGATGATATGGAGGACACCGGTATGTGCTTTCTTCAATTTATCTATCCCTTTCATCGTCCAGATGTTTGTTGTGAGAAAGTATTCTCTCTCATGACGCTCCTGTTACCAAAAGGCAGGCCTTTCTCTCTCAAACCTCGGTGTTTGTTCAGGTGTGCCTTTTTTTTTTCTAGGGTTTAGCTGATTGTCTAATTCCGAGCTGCATGTGTTTATTAGCACTTCTTTATTTTGGGAACTATCTTTTTATTCTTTTTAATCTTGCCAGAATTATTATTGCTGTGCTCCTTGTCTCTCTCTGTCTCCCTCCCTCTTGTCTGAAAAGTTTTGGCTATTGTCGAGCTATGAGAACTGAAAACAAAAAGGATGTTTTGGGTTAATTGAATTGAGTAACTAGTGTAGTATTTTTATTGATGTCTAAGGGTTTATGCACATTTCATCAGGTGAATTGGCTAAATTTTAAGAAATTTTTTGTGGTAATCGCTCAATATTTATCCTAGAAAGTTTAGAGTAGCAGCCTTTGTGATGATTGTTGAGGAGGCCATTATATGCTCGTTGGCTTTATAAATTAATACCTATAGTTGCAACCGAAAAATTTGAAACTTGACATGGCTACTGTTCGGAATGCTTGGTTAATTGCCCTTTGATTCTGTCGGTTCCCATTTATTTATCTCGTGTCATATTTCTTTATTGCGTGTCAACCTATCTTGTGGGGCTTGTGAAATCCTCTTCACATGCACATCAATTTTCTTAATTGCCTAAAGTTGGTTAAGTTGAGGCTTGTCATGCTTATTTCAAACAGAATTTCAAAAAATACTTGAATATAAATCCTCTGGTACATTCTAGTGATAAAAAAAAAATGATTCATACATTAGGAACACGTTGGGACTTTCAATGTGAGAAATGGGTCATGGTTAAAGAGTCTGGGGAGGAATCATTGGATTTTGCTCCTATAGCTCGAGTCATAGTAATCTAACACACTCTCTCTGTATGACAACGCACGTGAACTAGCAGCCCCTATCAACTAACCTACAAGCATGAACACCTCCCAGTTTAATAACTGATGTCGTGTTTGATGGCAGTAATGCTAGTGAAGGGGCTGGTTCTCTCAAATATCTATGTATATCATTATACCCCAGTTGTTATTTTGATATACCCCGGACTCGTTAGAGCAAAATAAAGCAAGGTGCTCATCTCATACTTGTCTTTTGCCAATTATATGGTCATAAGAACTAAGCTGTCTTTCTGGTGAGATTTTCCATCCATTTTTAGTTTTAGATACCTCAGATTACTAAAGCAGGGATGAATATGTATATATATAAGGGAAAACTGTGCGTCATCTCTCTTTAGGTGAGTGTGGGGGACGTCAACTTTTTAATTCTAATTCTAACCTTTGTCTTCAATTGTTCCCTTGTCATTAACTAATTGTTTTGAAATGCAACTATGTTCAACGGAGTGGATGTGCTATTTCTATTTTATTAAGGACAGAAATGCGACCATAGGTAATTTAGGGTCTATTGGAAACCTTAAGAGGAGCCTAGCATGTCTAAGCAATTTCATATCCCTCAAAGGTAGGATTTCGTTTATCATGGCCATCCTTTTCATCATTTTGGTGTACTTTGTCTCTCTGTCAGATGCCTGGTGGTGTAGCAGGTAATTTAGACTTCGGAGCATTAACATGGATAATTTTCTATTTAGGGGCTTTTGCAAGAGGCATCAGTTCAACCTTGTGAAATGTGAGGAGGTTTGTTGGCCTAAGAGGGTGGGTGTTTAGGGACCAGGGGATTGTTAGTAATCCACAGGGTTTCTCTTGGTAATTGGTTCCAGAGGCTAGGAGAGCAGGATAACTTTAGAATGGTAGCTACGAAATATGTCCTTAACACGTTTAGCTAGGAGTTGCCTAGAAGCTCTTCGGATTTGTTGGAATTGGGAGGGATGTGTGTTTATAGGGAGTTTGATAAAGTTATCGAACTAGTGATGGTAGACGGATGCCATATCGGTTTCTAGAATAATGTGGTGCAATAATAGGCCCCTTGAGACTGTGTATCCAGGACTTCATTTGCAGATTGTTGGGAGTCATGAATCATGATACCTGCATATCCTTTTGCTTTGAGAGAATTGGAGGAAGGTCTTTTGGTGCCACTTCTCCACATGAAACTCAAAGACACTGAAGTGGAGGGGCACTAAGTGAGTTAGTTCTCTTTAAGGAACTCATTGAGGTTTACAAATTGAGGACTGCTGCATATAAGAGGGTTTGGATTTGGGGGTGGAGTCATGTCGTGTCCTATATGAGGCCCTCATATTGAGCTATTGTGGTACTGTTCATTGATGATCGTCGCTCTCTAACTCAAACTATTCGGGGCCTTCTTGTCCTACAATCCTATAGAGGGTACACCATGTGGTTAGCTTGTTAGTTTGGAAAATATTTCACAAGGACTGCTTCGAGTGGGGATTTATTTTGTGTCCAATGAGGTTTAGTCCATGTATAATCTTCTTGTTTATTTCAGATATTGAACATTTGTTTGGTCTTTTCTGTGAAAGATATCTGGCTTTGACTGGGTGAGGCCTGTTTCGAAAGATATATTTTTGACGAATTGCCCTTAGATGCTGTTCCCATTGACAAGTTCGTATTCTTTTAAAGGTGTGCTTCCTTTCTACCTTTTGGGGCAGTTAGGAGGAATGCAATTGCAGCAATTTTCAGATGGGTCAGGACAAGGAAGTTGTGGTTTCTTGAGAGAATTTGAGATTCAGTTACTATCTTGGTCTCAGCTTGGTTTGTTTTTTGGGGCCATAGTCCAATCAACTTACAAAGGCACTAAAAGATGGTGGCCACTGCTTATCCTCCACTCCTCCTATGGATTGCCTTTATTGAGATGGACAGGGCCTTCTCCTTAGTTCTTTCGAGGTCAATTGTGATGCTTGTTGGTAGGGCAACACATGTCTAGGATGGGTAGGAGGTTTTCTCCTGGATTATCAAAGGTGGATGGTGAAGTCCCTCTCAAGTCCTTAGGTTTGTGTGCTTCCACAGAGGCTGAGGTGTTGCGCTTCAGATAGATGCTGGTATCTGCCCTCTTGCCCCCACCACCCTACTTTAGTTGCCTGGGACTACTTGAATTTGATAAAACGGCCCATAGAGATGCATTTATCTTTTGGTGCGTGATGAACATTTTCACTTAAATTCATGAGCTTTGTGACTAGTGGTCATCTCCTTGATGTTCCTAGGGTGGGAAATGGGGCATCGTCTACTATGCTTAAGTTTGGAGTGGATCAGGGGGGGACTCTAGTTAGGAATAGCACTGTTTTCTGTCAGTTAGGTGTCTCCTCCTTGATGGTCTTTAGTTGTATTGCTGTTTCTTTTTCTGTTGCCTCCTTTTCCATGTTAGTCAATATTGACAATGAAACCACGAATGTGATGTTTGTGCAGGTCCCAAGCCATCACAATTATATGGAAAGTTCACATGGAAGATAGAAAACTTCTCACAAATCAGCAAAAGAGAACTCCGAAGTAATGCATTTGAGGTTGGCGGGTTCAAATGGTAAGCTTTTAACTAGGTGGTTTTGGAGTCTGTATACACTTTCTGCATTATTTTGATACCAACTTGCTTGCATTATTTTGATACCAACTTGCTTGCAGCTCATAATTAAATTGTTCTATATTTTGCTTGCAATGAGAGGTTTGATTGAATACATGTGCAGGTATATTCTAGTGTATCCCCAAGGCTGTGACGTGTGCAACCATCTCTCTCTATTTCTCTGCGTTGCTAATTATGACAAGCTTTATCCAGGTGTTCCATATAGATAATGGCATCAGTATTAGTCTGGCTATTTTGTGCTATGAATATGTATGTCCTACTGTTTTGTTTCTTATTTTCTTTTTTGGTTGGTAGGATGGAGTCATTTTGCACAATTTACAATCGCTGTGGTGAATAAAGATCCAAAGAAGTCCAAGTACTCAGGTAAGTTATGAAATATGAAATGATCGTGTATTAAGTGGTGGCAGAGTGATCTTGCCTGGTTAGTTGTTGCTTTTGAGTTTTCTCTTTTTGTCGACTTTTGGGAATTTTCGTAGATACGCTGCATCGCTTCTGGAAGAAAGAACATGATTGGGGATGGAAGAAATTTATGGAGTTATCAAAAGTGTTGGATGGGTTTATTGTTGGAGACACTCTAGTGATCAAAGCGCAAGTTCAGGTGATAAGGTATGCATTTTTTTTCTGTTACTAATGGCGTCATTTTATTTATTTTTGACAAGTAAATTAACCTGTTTAAGTGTGTTGTGTACTCTTACTTAGTAAATTCTGTGCACTTATCCCGAGCAGGATCCTGTGAAATAACTAATACGTGAATCCTCTCTACCTTTTTCTCATTCTGCCTTCTACATTTTAAAATGTAGGCATATCAGTCCTTCCAGATGTTCCAATAATTGCAGAAATTCCTCTAGGGGTGGAAACAACAATCCCAACTGCTTAAGATGCTGGCATCACCCAGTTAATGCCTTGACAATGCCAGCAACTGACAAAATACCGCCCATTTCTGACTGAATTCGAACACCAAATTAGACTCCCTGTTTCTCTTGAAGCACTCCTTCATCTTAGCTTCGATGTGCACCAATATCTTGGAGAAGAGCAAAATAGACTATTTAATCCTTCTTTCTCGCCAACCATAATCTTTAACTGTCCCATACCCGACCCAGATTCTAAACCCCTCACTGAAGATTGAACCCATCACATCAATACCCCGTCACAACCCCTACCCTGGTTCCTCACACCCCAACCATTCTCTGCCTCCCATATTTGTCCTGGGAAATCCTAATTCACCATGCAACCTTATCAACTGAGAGTCTCCTACTTCATTTGCCAAACAAACATTTATTGACTATTGAAGAAATGTAAGACTTTGTTTTTGAATAGCTGTAACTGTATGAAGAATTGCCCTTCTGTTTCAGGCGCACAACGCGGAGATGTAACTAAAAATCTTCCTGCTTTCGGTAGTACTAAAAAGAAAAAGGAAAGAGAAGAGCCAAGATTCGGGAAATGTTTACTTAGAATAGATTAGTTCCATTTGTAATCAGTCTCCCAATCCCATTGATTTCTGGTTGCTTCTCATCCCTCCATAACTAATGAACGGGAAATAGACATAACTCCCCCTTCGGAAGGGATGGGGCCCAAAACCTCCCCTCCCTTCTGGTAAGGATGCCCACACACCTTACTTTTTCTTTTAAAACCAAGAACCCCTCACCGTACTCTGTGAAGGGGGCTCCTATTTTTTCTACCAAGATTGCCCATTGGGTCCCTTTATCATTCATCTCTTACCCTTTCACTCTCTAACTATATGGCCCCTCTCTCTGTGTACCTTCCTCTCCCTAAACATTGGGTCCCCTCTATCTCTCTCTCCTTGTGCCTTTCTCTTTTTTTAATCTATTAGATATTGGTAACTTTCTCTCTCTTCTTTAGATCTGTTATGGAGAGGATTTGGGCCTTTTTGAATCTTCCTCTTTCCTCTTCAAAGAGCTTCTAACTATTACTTGGGCCTTTCTTGCTGTTGGTTTGGATTGGAAGAGAAGTTTTTTCCGTTGCACCTCAAACTGAAGAAGAGGAATAAGATGAAGCTACAACACTGTTTCTTGTAGGCCTGATTGGAAAAGCACCAAAAAAATCCAGCACCATGTAACATTACATCTCCAGCTTATGAGCCCAATCATTTTGTATTCAAAGAAGACCAAGAAAATGATGAGAAAGAGAAGCGATGAGAAAGAGAAGCATTGAGAAAGAGAAGGGCTACAGATGCAAAAAATCCTACGAACCCAATCATTTGTGAATTCAAAAGAACAAAAGGATTATGAGAAAGAGAAGACTTGAGAAAGAGAAGATTCAAAAAGTTGAGGGAGAGCTCACATATGGAGGAGGGTGAGGTCTTTTGCCCCTATTTATTGGTGGGGGGGGGGTTTCATGTCATTTTCCCTTGACAAAACAAGCATGATGCTGACATGCTTTTTCACGCTACAAACGTCTTTTCTGCTTTCTAAGTCCTCACGTTTTTGAGTTGCAATGGGGATAACGTGTTCAATATGTTCCTGTCATGGAGACCTGCCAAATATTTCTTAATGTTTCCTTGAGGGCCATGGCCATCCTCTCCATGGTTTCTGTGTTTGTTATGGTATTTTGATGCTAAAACACATTAGTCTTGCATGCCTGAATTTGTAGGACTTTCTTTCATCATCATCATCAAAGCCTTTTCCCAACTAATTGGGGTTGGCTACACGACACCTGGTCCTCCATTCTGCTCTATTAAGGCCCATACAAGTGTGGCTATAAGCCCCCATATCTTTTTTCACTACTTCTAACCCCTTTTGAGCCTACCCCTTGCCCTTTTTGAACCTTTCACTTGATCTAACTCGCACCTCCTAACAGGTACTATAGTGGGTCTGCACCACACATGGCCAACCCACCTAAGTCTACTTTCTCTTGTCGCCTATTAGTGTTGTACCTAAATTCTCCCTAATATTTTCATTTCGAATTCTATCCTTTATTGTCTTGTCACTCATCTATCTCAACATCTTTATCTCAGCTACACTCATTCTATAGGTATCTTGTTTCTTGACTGCCCAACATTCCGCCCCATAAAGTAAAGCTGGTCTCACAGCTATCCTATAGAACTTGCCCTCTAGCTTCATTGGTATGCACATTCTTTTTGTATCTACAATCGTCAATATTTCGGAAATCACCTTCAAATAATCGCTTCCTTCTTTTTTGAACTATTAATATAGAGCAGTGGACATCTTGCTGCACAAAGTGCAGATTTCAGACTGATGGAGAGGTATATGAGAAGGAATGAGTGAAGTTTGTAATACCATTGAGGAAGGATATGGTGTCCTTTTTGTGAGATTCTTATGTATTTTTGTTCTGAATGGGTTTAAATGATTTGGAATTGATGATTGGTTTATCTTTTGTAAGATAATTTTATATAGTGAGAAGACACCCTAATCAGATAATTTATTCTTTTGACGTCTTATTGATTAGGTTACTTTTTGGTTGAATTGCATTTATTCTTTTCAAGGTGGTGAAAACATATCCCATAAATAACAGATTAATACTCCTCAACTGTTTTTGAGCTGTCTGTTCTTAGAGCTTGGGAGGCTTTTAGTTCCTTAGAAGGGAACTGGTTACTTACTGTTAGTATTTTCTCTGATATAACCTTGATGAAGATATGCCTGCTACATTAATTATAAATAAAGAAGTGACTATCTTAGCCTATCATTTTAGGTTTTTGCATCTCATATAGACTGATTTCACCTTTATGATAAGCTTCTCCACCTTGGTTTTTGTATATTTCAGGGAGAAATCAAATCGTCTGTTTCGTTGTCTTGATAGCCAATATAGGCGAGAACTTGTTCGTGTATATCTGACAAATGTAGAAGGTATATGCCGACGTTTTGTTGAGGAGAGGCGGGGCAAGCTTGGGAAGTTGATTGAGGATGAAATGAGGTGGTCAAGGTAGTCTCTGTTGTGTTAATTGTAATTTAAACTTTGTCAACTTATGTATGATGCAAATCACCTGCCATTATATTGGAGAACACGAAAGACTAGTAATATTATTGTATTTGGTTTAGTTCTATTACTTATTTATAGCCATCTCCATGTCTTTCATGCTTCCTAAGGCTGATATGAGTTTTTAACTATATGATCTGTGTGCAGCTTTCGTGCCTTTTGGTTGGGAGTTGACCAAAATGCTAGGCGCCGAATGTCAAGAGAGAAAGCAGATGTAATCTTGAAAATAGTTGTGAAACACTTCTTCATAGAGAAGGAGGTCACTTCTACCCTGGTAATGGATTCTCTGTACAGTGGTCTATTGGCTCTTGAAGACCAGAGTAAGAATAAGAAGGGTTGGACAAAATTGGTGGAGCTTGAAGAGACACCATCCCCAATAGTTCATAAAGAGAAAGATATGTTTGTTTTGGCTGATGATGTGCTCATTCTCCTTGAGAGAGTTGCTACAGAGCCATTGCCTCCATCAAGAGATGACAAGGGTCCCCAAAATCGTACTAAAGTAAGCTAGAATATGAGAGATTCTGTGGTTGCATTTTTGGTATTTGCACAAAATATTTTCCTTCCATATAGCATATGTTTTTTGGTGGTTTTAGAGAACTGATAGTTATAATTATTTTAGAATGTCTGAGTTATCATGAATGTACTCTTGTTAGCTATGTCAACATTAAAAAAAAAAGAAAAAAGAAAAAAAAGATTGTATTCTAGTGAGCTCCTGTTTTTTTGATCGTTATCAAAATGTTTTGTTTTATTCTTCACAAAATTGATTTAAGTATAAATCCTTGGAATACACAGAATTGGGCCTGTTTACATTAAAGGAGACAATAGTCTCTGGCCTGATACCCTCTATACTTTAAATCAGTCACCACCAAGCTATCTTTCTCTTTTCCTGCTTTGGCAAGTGCATTAGCCTCATGATTTACTTCATGAAAATATGGTTAAAAATAACTTTCATACCTTTAATCCTTTCCTATTTTTCCTTAAAGACCTCCTAAAGCCTCCATGGCCATTTAACTTGCCTACGTCCCAAATTGATAAGGTCGCTAGAGTCTTCATCTGTAATCATTTCTTGCCTCTGCTGTTCCATACTTCTGATTCGATTTAACATCTTCCAAATCACTATCTTTTGGGGTACTGAATAGGTCACTATGTTTCAAAAAGCGGACCGCCCAGTGCCAGGGCGGCCGCCTAGGCGGTTCTGGGGGACCTGGGCGCATCAGCCAGGCCTAGGCGCCCCAAAAAAGCAGATATCTTTGGGCGCTTGGGAACCCGCTTAGGCAGCCGCCTGAACCCGCCTAGGCGGCCTCTTAGGGCCTGCGCCCCGCCTAAGGGCAGAAATGCCCCTCGTTGAGATTATTTTTGGGTCATTTTTTTAATACTAAAGGTGCCAAATTGTCGGTTTTAGTTTCATTTAAAACCTAAAACCCATTAGAGCCTATTTTAGAGAGAGAAAAACCCAATTTTTTATTATTGGACTGCCCAGGTTTTGGGCACCCGTCCGACCGTTGGGTGACCTGGACCCCCCGACCTCCCAGGTGCCGCCTAGCGCTTTTTGAAACACTGATAGGTCATTAAGACTCGGCCTTGACAATCTCTCAATATGCCGTCTATACCTGCCATTCCAGGTTTCTTTTAGAGCTTCTATCAAGTGGGACTGAAAGTCATCTACTGAGAGAACCCTAAACTCTTTTCTAATTTTCTCGCACTCGATAATCGAGCTTCTAACTTGCCTTGCAATTTGTGAGTCTCCATCCTATGACTCCTAAAGTATTAGTTGTTTCGTTCACCCCAAACTGTCCAAAGGATTGCGAGAATTGTTATTCACTATAATATCTTGCATCTACTAGGGATTTGTAGTGTATGCCACTCTGTTAGCAAATCAAAATGGAGCTGAGCTTGCCCATAACCATGTGTATTCAAACATCATTAACACAAAGGACTATAGTTCCATGGCCACCATATAGTTTCAAAATAAATGGTTAACATTTCTGCCTCCATTTGGTGCAAAAATAATTATTGTGCCTCTGTTAAATGGTGTATGGTGAGCTCTTTGCCAAGTTACCAACCATGTGAGGACCTGTTCTGAGGACCTTATCTTCTAACTCTGCTGTTAGGTGGATAAAGTCTTTTACTTTGTCTTTCCTGAAAATATATCTTAATTACCCCATATTAATTCATCCGCTGTCTCTTAATGAAGACTTGTGGCAATCAAATTTACAAATTCTCATGTTTCATCATCTTTCAAGTCTCAAGTTTGGTGTCAATACGGTCTAATGCCATTCATCACCCATCTTTTTCCTTTTTTTTTTGAATCTGTTAATGTTTGTATTGAAAGAAAAGGGTTACGAGTTACAAAAAATGGCAACCCACAGACTGGGTGCTGTATACAATGAATGATGGGCTATACAAGAAGAGAGAGAATCAGAAAAGCTATACATTCAATGTGGGCAACAAAATAGACACGGAACCAGGAGCTCAAAAGGGTGCCAAAATGGTTCCGGTGACTCATCTTGACTCGATTCTTCTTTTGCGAGTTCTCTGCTGCTGCGGGAATGACTTTTGTTTGAGGGAGCTCAACTTTAAAGTTTGGCCTTGTGCCAGGCGATGCTTCTATAAGATGTGCCTATCCCTGCAAAGATGGAATATTTCATCAAAAATGTGTGCTAGTTCTCCAGGGGCAGTCCAAGGAACCTGATGCCTAGGTAATGATGTTCTTGGAGTTGTCCTCAGTGATCAAAATTGTACTCCAGCTAGGATCTGTGTTCTTGAGACCTTTAAGAAGGGCTAGGTCCTTGGCGGTGGACGATGAACTTAGAGACGGAGAAGAGAGTCCGTCCTTCGTGGTCTCGGAAAATGCCCCCAATCGCAGCTGGGCCAAGGTTGCCTAGGGAGCAGCCATTGAAGTTTAGTTTAGAATAAGCAGGTTTGGGGGGTCTTCGAAGAGAAGCACGGGTGATATGGGTGGGCCTTAAGTATAGCATGACCTACTAATTTTGATGGAAATCTCTGTAAGAGAAGTTCTTGAAAAGATTGTGGGTTTTTGGCCAGAAAATGGCCGACTCTTTAACCCAGTCTCTCAAGGCATCTAGCGTAGCCTTTTCTCCTTGGAAAATCCTGTTGTTTTGCTCCATCCAGATCATCCAAAACATGGCCGCTCTGGAGGCCTGCCATAGAAGAATACCCAACTTCAACCAGGGAAGCATGTGTAAAGTTCTGAAGAGGTGTGGGACAAATCTCGGGGTCACCCATGACCAGTTGAAGAGTTGCAAAAGCGCCCTCCCCTGCCTGCAACACCAGAGAGCCCATGCCACCTTGCAGTGGATGGAGAGGTGGCCATTGGTTTCTGTCTGCTGTGAACGTGGCACATGTGTTTGGAATGGGCATTCCCCTATTTTTTTTAGCTGTTTCATAGTCAAGGCTCTTTCAGATAGAGTGATCCAGTTGAAAACTTGGATTTTAGGGGGAATGAAGTGGAGCCAGGCCCTAGAGGTGATCGAAAAAAAAAGGGGGAGGGGGGGGGGGTGTGGTGGTGTGAGGCAGGAAGAGTTGGTGACACATGGCACTTGCGGTAAAAGGAGGAGACCAAATGATCCTATCCTCCCCCTGTTTTTTTTCTTTTGGGTTTTTTTTTTTGGGGGCTTTTAGGGTTGGGGGCGCGGAGGCAAATGGTTTGAAGGAAGGACATGGGGAGGAAGACATCCATTTCGTTATCCGCTAGAGGCCTCCTAAACTTCCAAATTCTTGAGGAACCCATGGTCTCATGGTGGTTGGTAACTGAGCCTTGGTAGTTCTGGGCAAGGGGAAATAAGTTGGGGAATCGCTCCTGTAGAGTGGTATTGCCTCTCCAGATGCCCGATCAAAACTTGACTCTATTACCTGCACAGACCGGAATATGATGTTCTCTTTGAAGGGATTTAGGCTGCAGAGGATGGATCTCCATGTTCCTGAGGGTCGGTCGCCAGTGCTGCAAAATGGCAGCCATCTGAGGATTGAACGTGGTATTTGTGGTGGAAGACCTCTTGCCACATGTTGTTCTCTTGAGTGGCCAAGCACCACCATCATTTTCCTAGAAGAGCCAGATTGTTCCTTTTGAAACTACAGATACCTAGTCCCTCCAAGGTGTTTAGGCAAACATGCTCTGTCTCACGATATAAGATGGTCTTTCTTGCTTCCCCCTTCATCAGGCCATTCCCCCTTCATCCGGCCATAGCATATTTCTCGTCAGCTGCTCGAGGTGATTAGCTACCATGGAGGGCATCTACAATAGCGATGTCTAAAAGATGGGGACGTTGGAGAGGTTGCTTTGCTTAGGTTGATCTACCCGGGGAGGAGAGGAAGCGGCCCTTCCAACCAGTGAGCTTCCGGTCGAATCTGTCTTTGATGTGGCTCCATTCCATTGTTTGGGCTGGTCGATTTAGAGGGACGGTAAAGAGTCGATGAAGCATCCCCATCGGTCGGCAGGGTTGCTGATTGTTTGGGCATTAGAAGACACCTCGATCATCTTAGATTTGGCCATGTTTACCCTGAAGCCAGTGGCCAGCTCGAAGCATTTTGGAGCAGTAGAAGAGGATTGACCTGCTGGTGGGTCGCTCCATGAAAGAGGAGGGTGTCGTCCGCATACTGGAGGTGGGATCATCGGGCTTGGTTCCTGATATTGTAGCCTTCTAGCAGACCATGTTGATACATCCTAACTATGATTTGCTCAAGACTACACCAACAATGGCAAAGACGAAAGGGGAGAGAGGGTATTCTTGTCTGAGAGACTGAGACCTCTAGAGGAGGGGAAGAATTGTTTGGGTGAGCGATTGATGAGGACAAAGAAGAATGGATTAGAGATACAACCTTAAATCCAGGCCCTCCAACGATCACCAAAGACATCCTATGGAGTGTTTCGTCGAGAGTGGCCCAATCGACATGGTCGTTGGCCTTCTGCCAATCTAACTTTATGATGACCACACTCGGCACCTTGGAGAGGTGTCTTGACTGAAATCATTCATGGGCCACAAGGTCTCCATTGAGGATCTGGTGGTCTATGACGACAGCCCCCTGGTGTGGAGATATGATCGAACCAAGTACCTTTGAGTCTTGAGGCAAGGACGTTGGAGAGGATCTCATATGTGCTGTTAATTAAACTAATCGGTCTGAAATCCTCGAGTTCTTTAGCCCCCTTGACTTGGGATGAGAGCAATAAAGGTTGCGTTCATGGCTTTGTGGATGACTCGTAGTGTAGAATTCCTCCAGAAAGGAAAGCAGGTCAGGTCGAATTGAGTCCTAGAAGGTTTTGAAGAGGGCTACCGGATAGCCATTCGACCCCAGGGCTCGATCCTGCCCAAGATCTTTGATGGCCTTGAGAATCTCCTCTTTGGAGAAGGCTCTCTTTAGCCAGACTGCTTTTCTTGTGGGGGATAGATCGGAAGGATAGGTCTGCCATCAATGGCTTGGGCCAGAGGAAGCCATAAAGAGCTTTTTGAAGAAATCGAGTGCCAGCACTGCAGGGTATTGTGTTCCAATTGAAGTTCCTTCTGTATCGACCAAATTCTTGCCCTCTTTCCATTCCAAATGAAGGTTTTGTTGGAAGATCTATTCTCAATCCATATTTTAGAGAAGCTTCCTTGTGTTGGATAATCCTCAATTCAAAATATCATATGCTCTTGCAAGTATATGTTCCCTTGGGTAAGAACCCATGCTAGGAATAATTTTAGGACAACAGGCGTTAGGAGTGGGAGCAGGAGCCTGGGATTGATCCGTGGCCAAAGCTCCCTACCTTAGGAGCGGCTGGGAGAGGCCTCCTATATGTACTGTATGTGAATGGGAGAACTTTCGTAGTGCTCTTTATACTACACACAAACATGCACACATTATATTATCTTAAATTAAGAAAATCATAACTGCACAGGAATGTTGCTTGTATCCTTATATGATTCAACAATAGCTACTTCAAATGCTGGACATTTCACTTAAGAGTATTTTGATTTGTTCATTTGATGCACATTTCCTATTTAAAGACTACGTTGATTGCAGTCTAATGTAAAACTGAGTGAATTGCTATTCTCATTTTTCGTAGAAATAAATTCCCTCAAACTCTTGTACATGAGTTCTTGACTTTGTTTTTCACCCGAAAATTTAACTCTTGTAGTTCCCTTGTTTTGTATCTCATAACTTTCTGCTTTTTTATCTGGTGTGAGAGGTTGGGGGAAGATGGTGGTTGTATGCATTGAAGGACTTTCATTTGACATTTATTAATCTGATAGGCAAGGATGGGTGGCAGATGCTTGATATCCATGTTTACAGTTATTATTTGCTCTTATTAAATTCTTTAAATTTGACTTCTAGCTCTCTAAAGAGTTCTACTGTGTTTCTAAGTGGTATACCTCATCTGTAGCTTTTTGGAGGCATCTCTCTCCCTCTCTTGTCTCTCTCTCTCTCTCAGTTTCTCTATCTACACACACACTCACACATACACGCACACATGAGACATTTCAAAGCACTTTCTGTTCTTCTGAAATACACACATACACTCACACATGAGACATCTCAAAGCACTTTATTGTTTGTCTGACACACACACACACACACACATACACACACACATGAGGCATCTCAAAGAACTTTCTGTTCGTCTAACAGTTTTGCAACTATTGCTTTGATGTTCTTAGGAAGGAAATTCTGGAGAGGACTTCAACAAAGATTCTATTGAGCGTGATGAAAGGCGTCTTACCGAGCTTGGAAGGAGGACAGTGGAAATCTTTGTCCTAGCTCATATTTTTAGGTAGCTAGAGCATATTATTTATATTCTATTTATCAAAAAAGTAAGCATTTACACGTTCCTCAGCAGCAATAGTTTGAACATTTAAGAGGATTAGGGTCCTGTTTGGGCAGGCTAACAAATCTAGCAAGAAATATATTTAGAATTATGTAATTTCTTTTGGGTAGAGTTGGGGTGTTTCAGTTGTATTTTCTTAATAAGCATGTTTCTAAAAAGGGACCTTTAACCCCCTCCTACCTTTTTAATTGTTCAAATTGCAATATTTCTCGTTTTTCTTTTTTGCAGTGACACCGTCATACAAACCCTAGAAAAGCTTCTCCTCTCTCTCTTTATCATCTGTGGACCCCTTCAACCCTCTCTCTCTCTCTCTCGACCTCCCTTGAACCCTCATCTTTATTTCTCTCTCTCTCTCTCTCGTGCTCTCTGTCATCTCACAAGTGGTTTAAAACACCTCACAAGTAGTTTAACATGGCATCCCAAATTCCATTTAGACGATTAGGTCATTTAAAAAGAGGAAAAGGAGAAATATTCTAATTTGGACAGTGAAATAGGTGGGGAGGGGGATAAACATCATTTTTCATACATCAGAGGGGGTTCATGGGCTTCTCATGGACATGAGGGTTTATTTGGCATCTCAATTCTAGAGAGGGGTTTATACGTCTTTTTATCAACTTTAAATGGTTCATCCAAATGTGGCCTATAAAACTACTTGTTTAGTATTGCTTCTTTCTGTTAGAGTTAGTAGCTTTTCTTTTAGTTTTGACTCTTGTAAGTCTACATTGATCATCATCTCATTTCAGTTACCATAATTGTTATAAATTACAAACTATGTATAATTACAAACTATGTATTTTAGCAACGTAATTTGAATGGAAGATTTCGTATATATTATGTGCTTGTGCACACACTGGTTTTTTTCTTCATTAATGGTTTTGTTTCTATTATTTTGGTTTGTTATTGTGATTTTTGTATTTTAATTTTTCTTTTTAATAAGTATTATACTTTTGAACAATTGATGCCTAATACTTTGAACTGAACTTACTTTGTTTGACTAAACGTATATTGATATGAGGAAACAGGCTTGGGTCAAGACGGTAGTGGCTAGGTTTTCATAGCCCAATGTCTCAAGTTCCATTCCTATGTAGCCTTGTCAAAAAAAAAAAAAAAAAATATATATTGATATGTTAGTGCATCTGTAAATAATTTTTATCTTCCCTAGGGCTTCTTAACAACTGTCGACCTTGGGAGGCATGTTAGCAAGTTGCTGCTTCAAACTATGATTGCATTATTTCGATGGGGTACATTTCTGGATGTGCACTGATGTATTCTTTCTGACAACAAGTGTGCATTTACATGAGCCTGACTTTTTGTATTATTAATGAATCTGTTTCTTTATGAGTTTCTCCATTTGTGTTGCTTAGGGGCCTTTCTCTATATCCAGAGAGGTAGTGGTAAGATGCCGGTCATGTTTGAGCATTACAGACCTGAAATATTCAAATTTTCAAACCTTATAGGACTACTGGTCCTGTTATTGAGATCTTAATTGCATTATAGGATTCCATTAGTGGTTTACTGTTTTTTTTCATTTTGGTTTACTCTTTTTTTTTATTTTGCAAATGCTGGTCTAGGATTAAGGATCGCAGGATAGGGATTTGTTTAATGTGTTGAACTTCGGATATGCCTTATTGGTGATTATAACCTTTAGCAACCAATGTCTGTCTCTAATTGGCGTTATTCCTTATGTATGGGTAACATTTTCGTTTTGGTGTGTCAGCCAACACACCTATTCTGGTGCATTTGCATTCCAAAATCGATTTTAGATATGGATTTTGGATCCAAAATTTCATAAGTCGATAATCTTGATCCCTACAATTATGAATTTGAAAAGAACCTCATAAGTAGTCTATGTTGAACTCCTTTTTTTTTTATCCTTTCATTGTAATTGTTTGCAGATTGTCAGATCTGCGCTACTTTTGGAGCTTCAAATTCATGGAACTAAGGTGGAAATTCAGTGATTTAGGATGTGTTTCAGATCCTCAGTCCATTAAAAACCTGGCTGGACTCGTGGCCATCAATGCACAATATATATTTTCTTTACATATATGGGGAATGATCACTAGGAGCGCCCTTATGTGTGCCCTCCCCACCGTTGCAGTGATCACATAGGGTTCCACACTAATCAATGAGTGAAATGAGTGGACTCGCTGGATGATGTGGATCATCTCCCAGGATCAATCCAACAGGGGGGGCTGGGGGACACACCACTTGAGGGCCACTCACCTGATGTGCTCTCTAGTGTATTAGCCAAAAGATATTATACTCCCTTGGGAGTGCACTGTCCATTAACTCACTCGGGTAAAACCCCACTAGGGTTAATTTAGGGCTTGAAGAAATAATGTCTCAAGATTGAATAGAGACCATCCAATTTTTAGAGGGTGAGATCTTAAGTGTTAGAAAACTAAATCTCAATGTTTTGTCTTTTGAAAATAATCATCTTGTGCTTTTTAGGTGGTTTCCAATTTTTAGAGGGTGAGATCTTAAGTGTTAGAAAACTACGTCTCAATTTTTCTTCCTTTGAAAATAATCATCTAGTGCTTTTTAGGTGGTTCCTAAAATTTCAAATTCGAAAAATCTCTCAAGTAGGTCTCTGACAAAGGGAGTAAATGTAAACTATACTCCTGCAGGAGTATAGTATACTATTCGTGCCCAACATATTATGGCTATATTTGGGAATGTATGCCTAGATTTAATTATTAACAATAAAAGCTAAGTCACTTAATATGTACTTAGAAGATGTTTTCCTAGGTTTTAAGTGTATTTCATAATCCTAGTATTCCCTGGGGTACTTGTACTATGTGCAGTCTTTTATTTTGAAAGGTGATGCGCACTCTTGCACACTTTACTTTGATTTTCAACTATTCTTGCTACAATTAGTGGATTTCATGTTGCAGCCATAGGATTGAAGTTGCTTACCAGGAAGCTGTTGCTTTGATGAGGCAAGAGGAACTCATTCGTGAGGAAGAGGCAGCGGGGCAAGCTGAAATTGAGCACAAGGCAAAGCGTGGAGCTGAAAAAGAAAAACGATCAAAGAAAAAACAGGTCTAAGAAATTTACAAATGTGTACTTCCTTTGTTCTCTTTGATTATGCCTGCTCCATTAAAGTTGATAGGCTCTTGCTGTTGGATACTTCTGGCCAATCATTTGAAAAACAGATTGCTAGATTGGATTGTTCACCCACTGATACCATTCCGGATAACCAGTCTGGCAAAAAAGAAAAGAAAAAGGGAAAACAAATATGTATAATATATAATATAGGAATTTAGCAAATAACACACTTTGTTTTATAAGTTTGACTTCACAGTTACCAACTGTGAGGCTAGTGGTTCGAACCTTCAGTTTATTTTTCTTAAACATTTAAACCCAAGCTTAAAAACCATATATTAAAAACAATATCATCATCATCTAAGCTTTATCCCAACTATTTGGGGGGGCTCGTATTAAAAACAAAATAGTATGTTATATATACCATATGGTACAGTACATATAAACAATACAAGTTCCTATGAGGTTTTTAAACTTCGGACCTTACAGAAATGAGTCATTTATGCTGACCAAAATAGGCATCAATCCTGTGTGTTATAAGTTATGCCATATATGTATTATATCTTGTAGAGTAAATGAATTGGTGATCCTGATCCAGATCTAGCCCAAGTACTAGAACATTCTTGGGCAATCCCTATCCAGATCGGTGAATTTTAAATTTTCTATAGCCACTGGGTGGTGTTCAAGTATTTTCATAATAATGTGAATATATCCAACAATTGAAAAGGTACATGGCATGGATATTTGTAGGGTAAGTATGCAATAATCCAAGGGACTTTGGAGAAATCCCATCTATGTACCATGCCTTGTTCTTGTGGTTCCCACTATGCACTATCTTCCATCAGTTCATTGGATAGTGATGGCCAAATGGATTTTAGATTTTCTATAGCCACTGGGTGGTGTTCAAGTATTTTCATAATAATGTGAATATATCCAACAATTGAAAAGGTACATGGCATGGATATTCTGACTGGAACAGTTTAGGTGTAAAATTATCTGGAAGGATGCTAGCATTGGTTAAATCATTTTGAGATATTGGAAGTAGAGTTGATATTCTGTTTTGGATGTAAATATATGCCTGATTTTTATAAGGGTTTTAGTGTTGTAAGCCTTTGTCAACGTGTAACACACAGTTTGATTGGTGAGCCCAAATAAGATTCCAGCCAATGGCCTATGGTCCAGTCACACTTTATGCTTTTGATTATAAACATTAGTGCCTGGATTTGTTTGACAAATTACCAAATGCACCTTTGTTCATAAATAGGAAAAGTTGCTTCCATTTCTTATTTAACTGAATTGACCCAATTGATTGGTCATTCTATTCTTTATTCTGTGTAAGTTTCTTGGACAGTCCTTATCTTTTTTTTGTACTGTGACAGTGAAGTTTAACCCACTTTTTCACATACTCGTTAAGATTCCTTTAATTATCTTTATCACATATTTGTTCTTATACAGAGCAAACAGCGGCGGAGCAGTGGCAAAGGCAAGGATAGAGGAAGAGAAGAGAGGTCCGATGTGGTTGTGCAAGATAAACATAAGAGAGGAAAAAGCCCTCATGATGAAAGCTCGGAGGACTTGTCCCTGAAGCAGGTGCAGTCTATCCTTGAAAAATCTAACCTCCTGGAAGGGGAAGCCTCTGGTGTGTCAGACACAGGGGATGATGTGTCTGGTCCCCTTGGACCTGATATGGAAGATGGAGATGCTGGTCCAGTCAATTGGGACACCGATACATCAGAGATGCACAATGCTGCTGAATCCTGTTGTAGTAGTATCAGCTGCCCACCCACCCAAAATGGACAAAATGGGAAGAAGAACCGATCTGCGATGGATGATAGCTCCTCCACATGTTCTACTGACTCAATCCCATCTGTCGTTTCGAATGGACCATATAAGGGAAATTCATTGCAGCAACCCAAGAGCCAAACATCACCTAAGAGGTCATCGGATGTTGCTCGTGGTGGCAATGGTAGGGGTAGTGGGCCAAAATCAGAAGCTTCTCTTCCTTCTTTTAAGGATCGTTCAAACGGGCCTGAGCAAAGTCTACCTGATAAGGTAGAAGTGGAGTGTGTCAATGATACCAATAGAACCGCATTTACAGATTGATTATAACTTTTTGTTGATTAGCTATATTTTTTTCTTCGATGAAAAGCATATCGCCTGGGCCACTGAATACTGGTTACCATTTCTCAGCTACATACTGTTGGCAGCTTTTAGTCGCAGGTTTCAATGGATCACCAGTGTTTTAGAGATTTGCTTGTTTATCTTAACACACACGTGTTACATATGCGGCAGTTTGTGGGTTTTGGAAAAATAATGAAGTGATCATATGGCAGAAACTTCTCCTTTTACCCGTTCTTTTGGCTTTTGTTTTCTCCGTTCACCTCATCTCTTCCTTCTTTCTCTAAGGACTTGGAAGCAAGCCTTATCCCACTTTTGCCTAAGGCTCTGTCCTCTGAACAGGAACAATATCGTACTCTCATTTTTCAGTTATTTTTATTTTGAAGATTTTTTTTCCCAACTTTTCTAATTATTGCCACAATTTTAGTTTGGATTAGGCCTTCAGTATTGCATGCTGGCATAGAAGTTTACTGGATTTGGGCATTACACTTGCTTAAAGTAACAAAAGTTCTGATTCAATTTCTTTTGGGAATTAATCAGGAAGAAGCTGAACTTTCACGAAGTAAGCAGAATGTCAAGAACCGAGTTGATGTTGACATGGACAGGCCCTCGAAGCAACTGCAGAGAGCTGAAGAATCATCAACCCCCCATGAGGCCCCAACTTCAAACACACATGACACAAGGATGAGCACCACTCAGCCAAAGGAAGCCATTGCCACAGTTAGCTCTTCGATGACTGAATCGGTCGCGGTCAGAGACTTCATTGGTAACACCGCACCAACTCAACAACTGGTCTCTAAGAAACCAACCAAGGTGTCCCCTTCTGCATCTTCTGCTTCCCCATCAAACTTTCCTGTTGCTGGGTCCCACACATTAGCCTCCTCATCATTGTCAAGGCCTTTGAGTGCCCCTTTAATCCCAGGTCCAAGACCAACCACCACCACCACCCCCCCCCCTCCAGTTTCCTCTCTGGTTCAAAGTGTACCCCCATTGTCTCGCTCGGTTAGTGCATCTGGACGCTTGGGCATGGCCTTTGAGCCCCCATCATGTAGTAGCACCAACACACTACCCCTTCCCAACTCATACCGTAATGCTATTATGGGAAAAGCTAGAACTACTGGTAGTGGTGTCTTCCCTCCACCTATTTTCCCATCCCCATCATACCCATCTAACATGCATTATACCAATAATGCCCATGCCCATGCCAATGCCAATGCCAACGCCTCTTTAAAGGAGCAGCCTTCGCAAAGCGTTGTGGGGTCCACACCAGGGTTCACCTTTGGGACGGTCACACCTGAGTTGCTATTACATGAAAGTAACCCTTCAGTTCCTCCTCGATTGCAACAAGAGGATGGAGGTGGCATGTATGTGATGGAACCCCCATCCATCACCCATATGTTCGCCCATGCCCATGGTCATGGCCATGGCCATGCACGAGGGATGGGACCCATGCAAGAGCATCAGCACTATGGGGATGAGAGGCTATCATTGGGGCCCACAACTTCCTCCTCAGCTGATGACTTCCCTCATCTTGATATCATCAATTCGCTTCTCGATGAGGAGTATAACATGAACAAGGTGGCTGCTGTGAGTGCCATATTGCAGCGACCAAGCAATAATAGTGCACAAACCGTGAATCGGCAGCTATCAGAGCTTCATCAGACAGGTAGTTTGATGGGGAGCATGGATATGGCGGGCCCGTCCTCTCTCAACTATTGTGGTTTTGAGAGGAGGTTCTTGGACCAAGGGATCATGCACCGTAGTGCTTATGACCCATTGAATATGTTGATGGGTGGTGAGAGTGATGGGCATCATCAAGGAGCATACATGCTCCGTTCCTTCAGCCAGCCGGATAGACTAGGGCATCAATGGGGGGCTGTGGATAATCATCATCATCACAATCAGCTTCATCAGCTCTCTTCTACTATGACTATGGATTTGGATGGTTATCACCCCTTCTCCTCATCTATCGATGATTACGCTACTTTGAGTTGTGGGTACTCGATGTACCGGCCGCCTGAGCATTGATGCGAATCCTGACCGTCCATTCAAGTTATTGGTGATGGTTGGTTTTTTCTTCTTGATATTTAATAATGTATTTTGAGGAGGCTTGGCTTTCTCTCTGTGCTTTAAAGAGTGAGGTGTAATCCTGGTTCTCACAACAACAAAGGGCAAAAAGAGAGAAAAAGGAAAAGGAACACATTTTATAGAGTGAGTGTGCTGTTATCTTGGCCAGCCCTCTTTAATTGCGCTTTTATTTCCCTTTCTAATTGGCTTTTATTTCTTTGTTTCCCCCCTTTGTTCTATTATAATTTAGGTAATTTCTCACTTTCTAAATCTTCACTTGAAAAATAAAGAACCATTTCTTGTCAGTTTTTTAAGGAAGAATTGTATTGACAGGGTACTAATAGCCACTATTAGAAGTAATTATGGTCAAGACTATTGTTGTTTTCCCCATTATCTGGAGCTTGGGGATAATATATTGGCCTATACACCACTACTTCTGTAAATTCCTCAGGATTAATTATGAAATCAAAGGGCTGGCTGCCCCTTTAAATGAGTAGATATGTTGCATACAAGTAGCTTAATGGCTAACAGGTAGTGTGCTCGATTTGTTATTGGTGCATGAGTCTGCCCCTCTGTTTCTCTTTTTCTTCCCCAAATTGATTTCTTCAGTCGGGACATAATAGGGTAGGGGTTATTTTGGATTTATAGTTTCGAATAATTCCTTGGCTTTTACTGTAAAAGCATGCACTTTGTTGAGATGTGGATTAAACACGCTATGCGCATTGCAACAAATTGGGGTTTTAATGAGCAAGCAGGCTTTGAGTTGTGGAGCCATTTCGACTGTGTTGTTCAAGTGCGAATGATCTTGTTTATGGCAGAAGAAACCATACAACCATAATGCATTCCTCAAGATACCAGGTGTGAATGATTCTAGGGATGGGAACTGAAAGAATCATAGATCTTTGAGGAATGCTATGATCAGTATAACTAAGTGGTTCATTTTGTGGAATTGAAAGGAGAATTTTACAAGTGCAAAAAGCTCTAAACCTCTTATTGAATCCTTCAGGTTAGAACGGCACTACTTGTTGCCCCAAGTGAGCTTGACCCACCAAAACATGGCATAACCTAAATGTTGAGTCTCTCTCTCTCTCTCTCTCTCTATAGGGACAGGTATAAATGCTTATGGCGGTGGATTTGCCATGTCAAATTGAGCGTAGTATAGTTAACCTTAGAAGAGGATATTTCTTCCACATGCCATCTCGAGTCATGTGCATCGCCATCAGCCATTACTTTTTGTTAGGCAAATGGATGCATACTGCCTTTTCTCGTTCTCCCGTGGAAGTCAATAGCACACTTTTGTTCAGGATTCACCTTCAAATTGCTTTAGCATGGGTGATATTCCCTTTTCAGAATTAGAAAGGTCTTTCAAGGCACACTAGATCACCTCTCTATTCATGACTGTCAAGCTAAAAAAATAGTGCACAACGAATGATATATGAAAAATAATGTGAATGGTAAAAAAAAAAAAAAATAACTATTTTTAAAATTCATTATTGCTGTGGTGGAGATTATCGACCTGGGAAAATAAGACGACGGACTTTGAAAGGAGGGGCATGGTTAGGTGCATCAGCCGATGGATATAAACCCTATTTTTCTTGTTTGTTCCCATATTTTGTGAATTTATATACAATTATTATTGTACGAGGAGCCATTGATGTATGACAAATGATGTATATGGTTAATTGCCTATTGAAATTTTTTATGAGTTTGCAATAATATATACATCCATTTTATTTGGATGATATAGATTTAACATTATTTGGAAGGAGAAAGTTTATGTAAGCTTGCAACTTTATACTGTAAAAGTAAGGTGCACCACAAAAAATCAGTAGAAAAGAGTGTTTTGAAGTTGGAAAACCTTCTAATTGATCATCTCTACATTGAGATGTGCGAATATAAAGCAAAAAAGAATTTTAAGTGTAAAGAACAGTGCATCTTGTAATAAATTATCTGGACCATCTATTTTCAGTAGTGCATATGGTAACAAGTTATCTGGACCATTTATTTTCAGGGTTTTTTAGTGTTTTGATTTGCTCGATTTTTATCATTTTTGGAATCTTCGATTTTATAACTAGGGTTGAATACAAATTTTCAAGCCATCATGAGGATTTTAATAATGAAATTATATCTCCAGACGAAATTTAGAAGTATGCCTAGCTTCTATAGTATAAGGAGGAAACATTATATAAACCTAGCCTTATTTTAAAAGATGTTGACACTGTCTTTGTTCTAAAAGATAAGTCAAATTTACACTATCCAACCTTTTCAAATAAAGTTGAACAAATGGACCTTTTTTTTATTCTTTAGATTTTATGGAATAAGTTTATATAAGGTTGCAACTTTTTTTTGTAGAAGTAAAGTTGCATTAATCTATACCATCCATTTTATTTAGGGAAAGAGTTTTAGAGAAAAAGTTTACATAGAGCCGAGGCTCTAAACAAACAAATTAGAATCTACCTAAAAAATTTCACTAGAAAGAGCCTCGGCTTTATACAAAATGCACCTTTTATTTAGAGGGCGTGGTTTCTATAAGGTTGCAACCTTAAACAATCCAATTAAAGTGCACCTCTAAATTTTATCATAACATGTAATTTTGCTGAAAAAATTCTTAAGATTCTCAAAATCTATTTTCATATCTACTTATAAATTTTAAACTCCAAAAATGATTAAAATCAAGCAGATCTATAAACATATGGAAATATTAAAATTGGACGGTCTAGATAATGTATTGTAAAATACACTATTTTAGGACTCGATATATATATATATATATATATATATATATATATATATATATATACTATTACTTACTACTCTACGTAGTACGTAACTAAATAGAGTACGTAGTTAAGTTTACGGGTTTTTACTAACCTAAACTTAAAAACGTAA